TCCCTCAGAACCAGAGTTACAGAAGTTTGTAAACCGCCAGATGTGGATGCTGGAAACTGAACTTGTCTGCTGGAAGAGCAGTACATTCCCTAAACCACTGAACCATAGCTCCAGCCCCATCCTCAAACTCTTACCAACACTGACTTGGTGAAGATGTAACTGGCACACTTTGCTGGGCATATTAGGAATTCTACAGTAGAGAACAGGCACTGGGCCATTCATTTCCCGCAGAAATTTTAGTTCTCTATGGTTTGTCCTTTTCCTCCTGTTCCTTTCAAGGAATCATGTCCCTTCTCAGTTTCATTCATGTACTGTTGTTGGTTGTTTTTACTCTTTTTTTTCTCTTTGGGGGGCCCACCACCTAGCTCCCAAATATCTTTCTTATGAATGCCAGGCCTTAGCTTGGCTTATTTCTAGGCAGTTTTTCTTGAATTAACCCATCTACCCTTTGCCTCTGGGCTTTACCTTTCTCTGTTTCTATATATCTTTTCTTTCCTTCTGATTCCATGTCTGGCTGTGTGGCTGTGTGGCTGGCTCTTCTTTTCCCACTCCTTGATCTTTTCACTTCCCAGATTTCTCCTCCTATTTATTCTCTCTGCCTGTCAGCCCCACCTATCCTTTCTCCTGCCTAGCTCTTGGCCATTCAACGCTTTAATAGACCAATCAGGTGTTTTAGACAGGCAAAGTAACACAGTTTCACAGAATTAGACAAATGCAACATAAAAGAATGCAACACATGTTTGCATTATTAAACAAATATTCCACAACATGCATATGTAACACATCTTCAACTAATATTCTAGAACAATGTAGTCTAATTGTTTCAGGTACTTGGGTCAGGCAAAGGCATGGAGCAGATTTAAAAAAAAAAAAAAAGTCCAAAAGAGAACTTGCCTTGTGGAAGGGGAAAACATGCCCATAGTAGAAGATAACTTACAAAATGAAATAACTCAGGTGAAGCAGAAACTCATGTGGTGATCCAGATGATCTTCCCTGTATTAGTTACTTTTCTTGTTGCTATGGAGATACCTGACAACAAGTATCTTTCGGGAAGAAGGTTTTATTTGTGAGCACAGTTTTAGGGAACACAATCCTCCATAGCCAGGAAGGCCTGGTGGCAAGAACCAGAGGCATCTGATCTCACTGAATTGTCAAGAAGGGAGAGTTGGGCTAGCCTATTAAAGCCTAAGTGTGGACTTCAGTGACCCATCTTCCTGGAGAGTGCTACCAGCCAGGGACTAAGAGTCAAACAAACATCAGTCTCTGTCTTAGTTTCTTTTCTTGTTGGCTGTGATTGTTAATCCCATGGATTGAGAATAAGCCTACTACCACAGTCTAAAGCCAAATTTGAAGCAAGCTTTAATTAAATACTGGTCAAGTGGCCAGGTTCATACCCCCTGTCCCGGGAAATGACCCAGAATCACAGTTTGTAACGGTTTAAGAAGGAAAATCCATAATTCATTGCACTTCCCATCAAGTCCACTCAGGGACAAGCATGCATCCTGACATACTTCCAGCCTGTGAACCTCCTGCCCACATGTGATCAAGCACACCCAGTGCAGATGGGTCAGATAAACTTGTTTAGGGGAGTGAAAACATGTGGCTTGTTATCGCCCATAAACAATAGCCTCCATCCTTTCAGGAACTATCTGTCCTTGGGCAAGGGGCTTGCAGATCAGAGGCATTTTTGTTTCATGGATCTCTTAGGCATGGTAATTGTTAAAATTCTGCCCTCACTCCAGCTGCATGACTGCACACGCACAGTTCAGGAGTTAAGCAGGGTCTTGCGTCTTACATCATCAGTGTGTGTTGGTGACTACGTGCTCGCGACGTGGTCATGCAGTCAGTGCATGCATGGTGTAGCTCTGTGGGCCCACTTGTGCCTTAAAGAGACGCGACTTAGACCCCACTCTCTCTCTGTTCTGTCTCTTCTCCCACCATCTTTCCCTCTCTCTGCATGTGCTCCTTTCCCAGGCTTCCTCCTAAAAAACTCTGCTACTAAATAGTCGTGGCCGTGGCTCGTGGCTTGTGACTTCCACTGGTATCCAGTGCCACCACCATCGCCGTTTATCATTCTTCCAGTAATTAAAATGTAACTTTGGCTCTCAGATGATAAAAGGCTCTGACAAAGGAATTTAAGAGACAAAGAGATTGCAAGGAAGCCAGGGCACCAGCAGCATGCAGTAGCTGGTC